TTAAGTTAAGTTAAGTTAAGTTAAGTTAAGTTAAGTTAAGTTAAGTTAAGTTAAAGTTAAGTTAAGTTAAGTTAAGCTAAGCTAAGCTAAGCTAAGCTAAGCTAAGCTAAGCTAAGCTAAGCTAAGCTAAGGTAGGCTAAGGTAGGCTAACCTAAGCTAGTCTAATCTGATCTATCTATCTATACATACATACTCATTTCGCTTCATTTGGGGCATGGAGTCCGTATTGCGGGCGCAGCCCATGTTGGGTGCACTTAATTGACCCATACCAAAACCAAACATGAAGGTACATGGACACTGCATGAGAATGCTCGCCACACAAAGAATGCTTTGTATTCCGTAGTCGGCGAACAAAGCACCTGACAGAGGACAGTCCAAGTTTTGGACCTAGAAAGTGCCGGATCTTCCTCATGGGTATCGGAGGAGGCCATCCCTACACAGTTAACATACCCAGGATGTCAAAACACCTTCCTCGAGGTGATATCTGGGACATCCACGCAACGATCAACAACAGTGCTCACTTAGCAGCAGCTTGAAAGCCAAGGCCGCTGGACATCCGCACTCAAAGACACATCGCACTTGCATCACTCATTTGTTCAGGACCTGCTAAGTCAAGATACCGGAGTTCAGGGTCATCAGGTCCAACACCTCGTCGTCCGTGCATGACCCTTCTCCAAAGGACTTGCAGTGTTGCCAGCTTCCAGTTTCATGATCCAGATGCCATCGCCTGACGAGCCATTGCTCTGCTTGATGACTCGCACCTGGAAAGCCAGCCACAGAATCCTCTGCCGAGTAGTATGCGAGAGTGTCCTCCACACCCATGTTCAAAATGGACACTTTGCACAGCGTGTCCCTCGGGCCCATGAACTCCATCACATCGGGGGAAGTGCGTTAGTTGCCAGCTTTCCGTTTCATGATCCAGATGCCCCCGCCTGACGAGCCCGTGTTCTACTTGATTGATGACGCGCATCTGGAACGCCACCGACTTCAAGAAGCCAGCTGCAAACGCCGCTATCGTGCAGGATGCGAGCCTGTCCTCCATACCAATGCTCAACCAGGCCACCTGACGAGCCTCGTTTTGCTTGATGACGCGCACCTGCGAAGCTAGCATCTTCTTGAAGCCAGCCACAAAATCGTCTGCGTTGTAGTATGCGAGTGTGTCCTCCAAACCAATGCTCAACATGACCACCTTGCACAACGTACCCTTCGTGACCGTAGCCGTCAGACGCACCCACGGCGGGTGCTGGGGCGCTACAATGTGCGGCGCTGCACGGCAGTGTTTGCCTCAAGCGTACATACATACATGCATGCATGCATACATACATGCGTACGTACATACATACCAAAAATAAGGGCAACAAAAAACTCTCCAGATATAATATATATATAGATATATAGAGAGAGAGATAGATATAGATATATATATATATGCACATACGTACTATGTGCATGCATCTATACCTGCATCATGTACCAGAAGCAAGCTGACTACGCTGATGTTGATCGCGGCGGTGATGATGATGATGATGATGATGGTAATGGTGATGATGATGATGATGATGCTGGCGATGATGGTGGAATTGGTGGTGGTGGTGGTGGTGGTGATGGCGATGGCGATGGCGATGGAGGTGATGCTGATGATGCTGGTGATGATGATGATGAAGGTGATGATGGTGATGGTGAAGATGATGATGACTGTGACAATGCTGATGGTGGAGATGGCGATGACGGTAATGATGGTGATGGTGAAAATGGCGAATATGATGTTGATGATGATGATAGTGGAGGTGGCGGGGCCAGAGGCTTGCAGCCACATCTATCAGTATGAGTTTTTCGACAGACTTGCCGCTTCCATTATTACCCTTTCCAGAAAAAGTAGACGCTGCATTCACTATTCCAAGCATCCGATCACATGACCGGGTTTTTGTTGGGTTCAGCACTTCACGACTCCCACAATCGCAACTAGAGCTGTGGTAGCTATCAAATCAATAACGAAACTGGCGATATGAGAATAGGGGTGTTAAACGCACGCACACTTACAAGAATAGTCGTAGTCGTAGCAATATCGCAATCAGACGACTCAGGGTCCTCTACCTCTTCTTCTTTGCAGGTTGGCAGATCCCAAGAAAGAGGAGCCGCCATCGTCGAGGTGCGGACGTTTATGCTCGCTTTGCGCTTTAGGGCTTGCGCCGAACCCTGCCATCTGTACTTTCAGCCCTACAAAAGCACATCCTTCAGATGCCGCTGCCCGCTGCAATCCTTCGGTGGTAACAAGTATGTATTCGAGTCTGCTTCACTCCCCACCTCCTCTTGCGCAGATTGCAACCGCTACTGCACTTACTAAGCTCAGTTCAGAGGGCCGTCCCTTGAGCCCTAAACTCCTGAACCCAGTCCCTTCGAGGAGCTCCAAAAGACCGCGAGCCAGCAAGGCGCCGCCAGCGATGGCAGCGCGCTTCCACTTGCATTGGCCAAAACCGCTTTGACATCGATACGATATATGCGCATATACAATATATAATTAACAGAATAGAATGGAATAGAATAGACTATGCTGTTCAGACCTTGCTTAGGGGTCTGTAAAAAACAAAGGATCCTACATGATCCTTGGGATTTGGCGTTCCACTATAAAGGTCGCCTGTACTCCGGTTTCGGTCACAAGGAAGTTTAGAGTTCGGCTGTGGGGTTGGAGATTTGAGATCCAGGGTAGTTTAGATTTAGGTTTTTGGGTTTGTGCTTTGAGTTGCTGGGTAGTTTAGGCCTTCTTGTGCAGAGCTTCGTGAGCAAAGCCTTCACTCCGAAACTCGGGTAGCTCGATTGGGGCCTAAGGAAGGTTTGGGCTTCCTTTCAATCCACCCTAGGCGTACGCCCTGTAGTCCCGCACAGTGCTACGTCCCAAAGCCGTAAACCTTGGCTGAGTGAGTCGGGCCCGCATTCCAAACAGAAATTGATGTGAGGTCTACACCTTCCGAGCCCTTGATGCTTTCTCCATGCCGGCATGCAGAGCACTGGCTGATGACCTCCTGAGATCAGAAGCGCCCTTGGACTACTTGGTGCTCACGCAGGGAATGGCCACTCTGCAGGTCTGCGGGGCAAGGGTGATGACGCCAATTATGCGTTAACTTCAACAAGCTTTGGGGTATGAAAGGCCTGAAACATGAAGGGCAGAATGGCAGAAACTTCAGGAATGACAACAACAGCGTTTGGTTTGCACGGACGGTAGAAAGAGAAGCACCGTCACAGCTCGCGGATCATGGGATGGATGGTTGATGTAGTGATACAGAAGAACCACCCGAGCTCCGGGGCCAGGGCTACACGCCCACAGCTCCAGAGAAGGGTGGTCTGGATGAGAAGCTCACCTTGCACTACTACTCCAGGCATCCTTGGGGTTTCTGGTGCTTCCGGTGGGCTTGGGGTTTGGAATTGTTCATAGGGTTTGGGATTGCTGTGTTAGGGTTGAGGGTTTCTGCCTGTTTAGGGTTTTGTGTTTAGGGTTTAGGGTTGTTGGTATAGGGAAGAAGTAATACGGGTTGTTGGTTTAGTCTGGGCTTGTGCTTGCTCGTTAGAGGTTGCGGACATTACTGTTTGGGCGATTGATTTGCGGTTGATGAGTCAGGCTTTCTCGTTTAGGATGGGCTAGTGACATTTACCACTTGCGATACGAGACCGTCAGAAGTTCTTGCAGGCATCGTGGAGCCGTATACTTGTGATTGTCTTTGGGATAGAAACTGGGGTTGTCAAGGACACCTGTTTGGTGTTGTCCTTGAAATTTGTTTGTCATTCTTGGGGCCCTTCGGGAGGTCCAGGTGGGGGGGGGGGTGAGGCGGAAACCCTGAAAACAGCGAGTTTGGCAGACAGTTGTCCTGTTCTTGTCCTTTTTGTCTCTTCTCTTGTTATTGCTCATAAGTTTTATTCTTATTCCAGGCTATGGCTGGTGAAGACTCCCGTAACGGGATACCAAGACGTGTCGCTTGGTGTAGTCCAGCTGATCCAACCTACTGCTTTGTGCATGCCAGTTGAGACCTCCCAGATTCCCAAGACTAAGCCTAAAAGCTAATTGCTGCTCGAAGGTTTTGATCCCGAAACCGGCGAAGTGGAGACGAAGTGAGTGGAATCACCAGAGTCCTATTCTTGACGGTCCAATTAAAGATGTAGGAGCCCGAACAGCAGGCACCGGGCGTGCTTTCGTAGAACCCAACATAAATCTAGTAGGGTGCTCCTCCCCATTCCAATGTCCATGTTAGCCGCAGAGACTCCCTTCTGCAATTTAATGCATGTTCCACCACAATTAAGGGATGTTGGGCTCGGTCTCCAGGGCCTTGCTGATGGATTCCCTGGCGCCTCTTCTGCAGAAGTCGAGCGATGGGCGCTGTTTGTCCGTCCTAAGCGGTGGTATTCACAGTGCTTACGCAGGCTACGTGGAGGACCCCGAGTGGAGAAAGGCTGTCAAAGCAGCGTCGTTCACCTTCCTTCTTCAGGGGAGAAAGTCTGGGACCTGAACCAGTAGCCTTAACCCTATTGCAAGCCCTTTCTGGTGTGGAGGTAGTCAAGTTTTGCTGGGAAGAGTCACGCAACAAGTTGACAACAAGGGACCCCAATATAGACCTTAAACAAGTCGGATCCCTATCATATAAGAGCTCGTAAAACCCTGAGCCCTAAGCCCTTAGGATCAGGACCGTTAACTTCTACCTGAGGTTCATGGACCTGAAACTAAGTAGCCTTCTAACATAGGGGCCTGAATAGTTCCCAATACTATTCCTCAGGGCTAACATAATTCTGCTGCATTGCAGCCCGAAAGACCCTATTCTAATTAAGGCGACTGTAGTTTTCGCTCGTCCTTGCGAGGACCCCGACCTGTCAAAGAGCTATTCCTTGACGAAGGCAGCGAACCTCGCAGGCTCTGAGAAATCCAAGACGCACAAAGCCTGAAAAAGGTTTAGGGTTTAGGGGTTTAGGGTTTAGGGCCCTGCAGCCCTATAAACCCCACATGAGACCCAAGTAACAAAAGCAAGACCGGATATACATTCCACCGAAAAAGACTTGTAAAGCTTATGATCGATACACACAGCCGCCTTGGCTCTCTGGGCCCTTCAGTCTTACTGGGATCTAGGGACCCCTTTCCGTCCTCAGCTGCGCCTAAGCCGTTTTAAGCTTTGTACTGCCGATGTATATGCTGTATATGCAAGCCGCACCACAGCCTCATGGCCTCAGCAGATGACCAATCGATTCAGAAGAGACTAGCGCCAGTGACCTCTTGGACCTGTTGTTGTTTAAGGGGGTTTTGAATGCTCACTGCCGGGAGAAGGGGTCCGCAGTAGGATGGAGGATGAACAGTGGCGGGGTGTTGTTGAGAAGGATGCATCAGAGGGGTTGTTGATATTTCTTTCAGGGGGTTCTCCAACCTGGAGAAGAAACACCCCTTCTGCATTCCTCCATGACAGTGGAACCCTCACCTCCCATCGTCATGGCGGCCCCACAGCCCGAATGCTTCCCGTGGCCTGGAGGCTTCTACAACGACATTGCGGTGGATGCGCTGAGCAGCGCATACCCAGGCCCGAGTCTGAAGAGGTCTAAAGTACATGTCCTACCAATCCACGAAATTTCGGTGGCAGTGACGATGCTGGTGATTCTGGCCATGGGTTTAGTCTTTATACCCAGGCTTCAAACACTCTGTTTGGGGATCAGGACTTGGCAAAGCCGCTTGACCCGGGACCTCAGGTGTGAGCTTCATGCATGCAGCCCCGGGCTTCGTGGCCACTTCTTGGGGCACCGAAATGCCGCCGTTCGTCAAGGCGCCGCTGGGATCCAGCAGCATCAAGCGAATCGTTTTCCACAGAGCCCGAAACCTTTCAACAAAGCCTTGATGGAGTCCCATAGCACACAAACTCAGGCAGAAATCGCAAAGCCCTGCTCTGCTTACTGGGAAATACACGAAAGCCCGCTTCGCTCCTGTGACTGTGAGTCAACAGCCCGATTTAGGAGGCAGAAAATCCCCATGCCTGGAATAGGTCCACCCACGGTGCTGGCAAATGTAAAAACCTGAAACTGCTCTTTCGGATAAGGCGTATTGAGAGAGCAACATGACCGTGAACAGCATGGAATAGACTAGAACTGAGGACAGTACACTCTACTTTGTCCCAACATGATACAACTCAGTATCGGAGTAGTCATGAGTTCGTAGATATATCTACTTCACCCCTAAACTTTCCCAAACCCTGAACCTGATGTACATATCACAACCTGGAGTGTACGTTTGTAGGTATGTGTACTTAGACCCTAAAGCCTAACCGTATCCTTAACCCTAACCCCTAAATCCCTAAACCCCCCAAGCCCTAAACCCCTAA